ATAGTGATTGATGGAAGAATGTGTGGTTAAAAAGTAATAAGAACTTTTGGGTTTATGTGTAGTATTATTTTATTGATAAAATATGTGGGTGATATGAAAAAAGAGAAAAAAATGAGAATGAGAATTGGTGCCAAACAATCTCTAAGTATCATCTATTTCAAAACTAAAAATTCAACTTTCAAATTTTAAAAATAAGATTTTTTTAAATTTTTATTTATGAAATAATAAATTATTAAATCAATTTATTATTAAATATTTAATTCTAATATAATATAATTAAACCACTGCACCTTCACCATCCTACTGCTCCGAGGACTATTCAAGCAGCCATTCTGGTCACCACTCTTCTCCGACGACTATTCCGACAAATGCTCAGGCTACTATTCCGATGACCATTTCGACAACTATTTTACGGTCACAGTTCTAAAATTTTATAGGTCACAATTAATTCGTTGGTCACATATCAAACTTTATACGTCACATGGTCACAGACTTCCAAATTAATTGGTCACATATTTTTTCACGGTCACATATTATATAATTTTTAGGTCACAGATAACAAAAAGTTGGTCATAGATTATATTTTAGTCACATATTATCGAATTTTAAGGTCACAGATTATATTTTTAGTCACATAAGGTCACACGAGCACAGATTTCCAAATTAGTTGGTCACATATTTTTTCACGGTAACATATTATATAATTTTTAGGTTACAAATAACAAAATGGTTGGTCAAAGATTATATTTTTAGTCACAGGTTACCGAATTTTAAGGTCACAAATTATATTTTGTCACAGAAAACCAAAATCACCAGATCCGCAAGATCCACCACCACTTTTGCACTATCACCACGACCATTACCACTACCTCTACGATAACCACCAAGACCAACATTACCACCACCTAGAGGTGTCAATCCGGGTGGGTCGGACCGGATCGGCCCGTCAACATATGAGCCTGGTAACGGCCCGCGTGAAAAAAAGCCCGCCCGCTACGAGTTTCGGGCCGGTTCCGGGTCGGGCCACAAATTTTGGACTACAACCCAGGCCCGGCCGCTAACCCATCTGGGTCGAGCCCATACGGGTCGCGATTCGCGGGTCATGGGTCGCGGGTTGTTCCAAAATTATTTTATATTGATAGCAAATTTATTTATTTATTTTGTTAAATGTAAATTAAGAATTGAATAAATTGATAAATTCATATTTATACTAAGAAATGTTTACATATAATTCAAATTTAATAATTGAAATTTAACAACTAAATGCATTTCTCATTACGTGAAGGTATATATTTATAGCAAAATACATCCCAACTAGGTTGGCACCTACTTTTACTATAATTTATAATTTATGTATATCCAAACTAGCTTGTCACCTACTTAAGTCTTAACTATTAACTATAATTTAGTTGTTGAAAAATTATATATTTGTTTCTCAATTAATATTCATGAACTGTAAGATTTTTGAAGTTTTCAGCAACATCATCATTAATTTTATCTTATATCGTTCGATCCGCAAATATCCAATTTTTCACACATATGAGAGCTTCCAAAATATTTTCTTTAATTCTAGATCTTCGTTCGTCCAATACCCTGTTACCTGCACTAAAAGCAGACTCGGATGCCACTGTTGAGACTGGAACTGTTAGTATATCTCGTGCCATTTTAGATAATACAGGGTATGACCGCTAATTTAATTTCCACCATCGTAAAATATCTAACTTATCCACTTCATTTTCAGGTATTAAACTATAATGATCAAATTGATAATATCTTTCTAATTCAACAGGTGTGGTATGTGGATTTGCAGTTGAAGTTGAAGTAGTAGATAACGGCCCTCGCCCCTTTTTTTTAAAAAAAATTGTTTTTTTTTTCAATTTTTTTATGGGTCGCGGGTTAACCGCGGCCCGTGGGGGTGCAACCCGCGAATCCCGCGGGTTATACCTCCTTGGCCCGTGAACCGCCCGCACGGGTCAGCCCGCGATCCCGATTTTCACGGGCCGATTTTTACGGGTCTGGCCGGCCCGTCCGTTTTAA